CCTTCCATCTCTTCTTGCTCCTTCGCCCCCACTCCCTTCCCCCTCCTTCCACCCACTCCCAATCTCCCCTCTCCACTCCCCCTCACTCTCTTTCTCTCTCCCCCTCTCCTGCGTCGCGCGTGCGTCCCCTTCTCTTCACCTTCCTACTCTCTCTTCTCCCCCTCCTTGAACCCCCTTCCTCCCTCTTCCTCTTCGCGCGAGCCCTACTCCCCTTCCCCTCCCCCTCTTAAACCACCCCCCTCCTTCTCCTCTACCCCCCTCTCCCACCCTCCCCCTCTCCCATCTCCCACCTCTACCCCTCCCGACAATCGGACTTAAACAGGGAGCCCAAAAATCACCCTTTTTGCCGGTAGAGGGACACACTGGGCTCCTCGAGTTCGTGTCACCTTGCTTTTTTCTCTCTCCCTCTGTCTGCTTGATCAAATCTAATCTATATTTTATCTAACTGTTGTTCCCGGTTGGCTTTTGTTTTTAAACCGTTTCTCTATTTCTTGTCTGTCTTCGTTTTGTGTCTTAGTTTTTGTTTTGTTTGTCTTCGATGTGTTATCCTTCCGTGTTCCCTCTCACTCTCCCTCATACTCTTGCCTCTCGTCCTCTCTCTCGCCATTACTCTATTTCCTCTCCCTCTTCCCTCTCCCACTCCTATTCCCCCTCTTACCTTCACCGTTCCTCAACTTCTCTCCTCTGGCCCTCTGTTTCTCTCTGTGTTCCCTCTTTTTTTTTTTCTCATCTCTCCGTCCCTCCTCTCTCTCTCTCTTTACGTTTGTCAAACTCCTTCTTCTCTCTCTTCTCTGTCCCTCTTCTTCTCTCTCTCCATCTTTGCCCCTCCTTCTCTCCCTTTCTCCTCTTTTCCTCCCACCTTCCCCTTTCATTCACCCTCTCCTTCTCGTCTCTCTCTCTCCCTTTGTCCCTTCTTCTTTTTCTCTCTCTCGTCTTCCTATCTCTCCCTCCATCCTTTCCTTCCTTCCTTTTCTCTCTTCTCTCTCTTTCCCTCTCACTCTCCTCCTCCCTCTTCCCTCTTTCCCTCTCCGTCCCTCCCACCTGTTCCCCCTTCACCCTCACCCTACCCACCTCCCCTCCTCACCCTCCCTTCTTCACTCTCTTTCCTTTCCCTCTCCTCTCTCTCTTCTTTACCTCCCTTCCTTCCCATTCCTTTCCGCACAAGAACCCGGCCATCTCAGGGCTTATTACGCGAGCACTAACCCAAGAGTCTCTCGCACGCCCCAGATGCAAGCAGCGAAGAGAGAATAAGAAAAAAGAGAGAACGAGGGAGGCAGAAGGGAAGGAGGAGGAGGGGAGGAGGAGGAGGAGGAGGAGGAGGAGGAGGAGGAGAATGAAAGGAAGGAAAGGAGGGATTGGAAAAACGGAGAGAAAAAGAAAAAGAAGAAGAAAGACGGAGAGAGAACGAGGGAGGCAGAAGGGAAGAAGGAGGAGGAGGAGGAGGAGGAGAATGAAAGGAAGGAAGGGAGGGATGGAAAACATGAGATAATAAGAAAAAAAAAGAGAAAAACAGAGAGAGGGTGAAGGAGGCAGAGAGGAAGGAGGAGGAGGAGAATGAAAGGAAAGAAGGAAGGATGGAAAGAAAGATCGAGAATGAGGAGAGGAGATGGAAGATAGGAAAGAAAAGAAAAGAAAAGAAGAGAAAAGAAAAAAAATCAAGAAGGAAGTAAAAGAAGAGAAGAAAATGGGAGAGGAAGCGGAAGACGAAGAGGAAGAGAGTGACAAGAGTGAGAGGGAGAGAGGGAGAGGGAGGGGAATAAGAGGAAGGGAGAGGGGGAGAAGGAGAAACGAGTAAGAGGGAGAATGACGAAGTGAGGGATGAATGAAGGAGTGAGGGAGAGAAAGAGAGTGAGTAAGGGAAAGAGAGGAAGAGAGTGAGCAAGGAAGAGAGTGAGTAAGGGAGAGAGAGAAAGAGAGTGAGTAAGGGAGAAGTGAGGGAGAGGAAGATAGTAAGGGAGAAGTGAGGGATGAATGAAGGAGCGAGGGAGAGGGCTTCCCCAGGGCTTCCCCAGGGCCTCCCCAGGGCGGGCGAGGCTTCCCCCCGCAGCTCGACCCAACGCGCGCGCGAGCGAGGAAGCGGGAAGGAGAAAGGGCAATGCGCTGGCGGCGGTGCGTGCGCGCGTGCGGGCGAGCGAGTGAGCTGCTACATAACCAAGTGTTGGACAATGTAAATGTCAAGCGAGCAGGCGGCACGGGCTCTCTCTCTCTCTCTCTCTCTCTCTCTCTCTCTCTCTCTCTCTCTCTCTCTCTCTCTCTCTCTCTCTCTCTCTCTCTCTCTTCCTCTCTCTCTCTCTCTCTCTCTTTCTCTTTCTCTTTCTCTTTCTCTTTCTCTTTCTCTTTCTCTTTCTCTTTCTCTTTCTCTTCTCTTTCTCTTTCTCTTTCTTCTCTTCTCCCTATCTTTAGCCTTACCCCTATCCCTCTCTCATTTCCTCTCTCCCTCCTCTTCCTCTCCGCTCCCTCCTCTACCTGTCCTCTCTCCATCTTTTCCTATTCCTCTTCCTCCATATCTCCATCCCGCCCTCTTTCTCCTGTCCTCCCATGTCCTCTCTCCATCCTTTCCCTCCCTCCCACTCTCTTCCTCGCTGTCCCTATCCCTCTCTCGCTATCCTTCTCTCCCGATCCTCCCTAACTCCCTCTTCCTCCTTCCTTTCCTTTCCCGTCCTTTCCCTTCAGCTCTCGCTCTCTCCCTCTCTCCTTCCCCTTCACCCCTCCCCTTTCCTCCCCTCCCTCCCTTACTCTCCCTTGCACCCTTTCTTCTTTCCTCCCTCCCCTACTCTGTCCCTATCCCTCTCTCCCCTTATTCGCGCCTTCCCTCTCTTCCTCTCTTCCCTCCCTCCCTCCTTTCCATGCCCTTCCCACCCTTCCTTTCCTTCTTTCCCTCCTCCCCACTCCCTATCTCCCTTCCTGCCTCTCCCTCCCCCTCTCCCTCCCAATAGAACTCCCCCATCCCTATCCCTCTCCCCTTCCCTCTTCCCTCCCACTCCCTGTCTCCATTCCTCTCCCTCCCACCTTCCCTCCCTCCCCTCCCCATCCTCTCTCCTTCCTCCTTTCCCTCCTCCCTCCTCCACCCCTCCATTCTCTCCCTCCCTTCCCTCCCGTTTCCCTCCCTCCCACCCACCCTTCCCTCCTCCCCCCCCACCCACCCTCCCATACCCTCCCCTCCATTCCTCTCCCTGCCCTCCCTCTCCGTAACGAAGGCGTGGCAGCTGCGTGTCGCGCCGCCCGCGTTCCTGGCTAATCTCCTCCTGCGGGGAACGAGGAGGCGCCCCTCGACCCTCGCGCCCTCCCTCGCCCTCGCGGCAGCCTCCTGGATCCGGGCCTCCTTCTCTCTCTCTCTCGATCTCTGTCTCGCTGTCTGTCTGTCTGTCTCTGGCTCTGTTCCTCCTTCTCTGTCTCTCTCTCGCTCTGTTCCTTCCGTCTCCTCTGTCTCTCGCTCTCTGTTCCTACTCTCTCTGTCCTCCTTCTCTCTCTCTCGCTCTCTGTCTCGCTGTCTGTCTGTCTGTCTCTGGCTCTGGCTCTGGCTCTGTCTCTGTCTCGCTCTCTCTCTCTCTCGCTCTGTTCCTCCTTCTCTCTGTCTCCCTCTCGCTCTCTGTCTCTCTTTCTCGCTCTGTCTCGCTCTGTTCCTCCTTCTCTCTCTGTCTCTCTCTCTCTCTCTCTCTCTCTCTCTCTCTCTCTCTCTCTCTCTCTCTCTCTCTCTCTCTCTCTCTCTCTCTCTCTCTCTCTCTCTCTCTCTCTCTCTCTCTCTCTCTCTCTCTCTCTCTCTCTCTCTTCTCTCTCTCTCTGCCCCTTCCTTCTCTCTACTTCTGTCCCAACTCTCTCTGTCTCTCCTATTCTTTCTCCGTCCCTATTCTCTTTCTCCCTCTCCGTTCCTCTCTCGCTGCAGCCTCCTGGATCTTGGCCTCGAGGGGGGGGGAGGAGGGGGGGGATATGTACTGTGTATATCAGTGTGTGGGGGCGGGGGGGGGGTGTTGGGGGAAGGGTATGTTTGCGTGTGGAGGGAGGGGTATGTATGTGTGTGGTGCTGTGTGTGTGTGAGTGTGAGTGTGTGTGTGTGTGTGTGTGTGTGTGTGTGTGTGTGTGTGTGTGTGTGTGTGTGTGTGTGTGTGTGTGTGTGTGTGTGTGTGTGTGTGTGTTGAGTGTGAGTGTGAGTGTGAGTGTGAGTGTGTGAGTGTGAGTGTGAGTGTCGTGTGCGTGTGCGCGTACATGTCCGTGTTCGTGTTTAATGTTCGTGTGCATGTACATATACGCATACACATACATACACGCGTACACAGCCACGCACATACACCCGTCCCAGCACCGTTCGTGTGCGTGTCCTTGCATGCGTGAGTGCGTGCTGATGGCGCCTCGTCCCCCCCCCCCCGCACGGATTCCGCCTCCCGCCCCAGATAAGAGATAAGAGATAAGGCGAGACAGGACACAGAGTTCGCCTATTTCTTCCGGTTGCTGGAGTTGGTATCCGGACTTTTAACCTTCTCTTGGTGTGTTTTGGTTTCGTATAATTTGATGTGATGGAATGTTTGATATCATGTTTAATGGTGAAATAATGATAATAACAACAACAACAATAATAAGGATATAATAATAATAATAATAATAATAATAATAACAATAATAATAATAATAGTAGTAGTAGTAGTAATAATAATAATAACAATTATAATAATAATAACAATAATAATAAAAACAATAATAACAACAAAACAACAATGATAATAACAATAACAATAAGATGAAGAAGAAGAAGAAGAAGAAGAAGAAGAAGAACAATGACAGCATCAACAAAAACAACAATAATGAATAATAAAATGATAATAACAATAACAATAAGATGAAGAAGAAAACAACAAGAAGTAGAAGAAGACAGCAACAACAAAAACAACAATAATGAATAATAAAATGATAATAACAATAACAATAAGATGAAGAAGAAGAACAACAACAGCAACAAGAAACCAAAAACAACAACAACAACAGCACCAAACCGTGCGGCGCCTCACCCTGTAGTGCGTGTAGATCCCGCCGGGTAGGGCGGCTGCCACAGCACCAGCATCGTCGTCTCATTCCGGAACCACACGATGAACCGGCCCGGCGTGTTGGGACCTGCGGGAAGGATGGGAAGGATGCGTGAGAAGATGCCCGCGGCCAGAGCGTGCACTGTCATGCCCACCTTGCCCCCCCCCCTACCTAGCCCGGAGGAGGAGGAGGAGGAGGGGAGAGGAGGAGGATGCGTGAGAAGATGCCCCAGCCAGAGCGTGCCCTGTCGTGCCCACCTTGCCCCCCCCCCCCCCCCCCCTCCTTAGCCCGGAGGAGGAGGAGGAGGAGGAGGATGCGTGAGAAGATGCCCCAGCCAGAGCGTGCCCTGTCGTGCCCACCTTGCCCCCCCCCCCCGCCCCCCCCTCCTTAGCCCGGAGGAGGATGCGTGAGAAGATGCCCCGGCCGGAGCGTGCCCTGTCATGCCCACCTTGCCCCCCCGGCCCCTCTCCCTAGCCCCTTGCCCCCCCACCCCCCCTCACCCCCTCTCCCTAGCGCCCAGCCCGGAGGAGGAGGATGCGTGAGAAGATGCCCCTGCCAGAGCGTGCCTGTCATGCCCACCTTGCCCCCCTCCCCTACCCTAGCCCGGAGGAGGAGGAGGAGGAGGGGGAGGAGGAGGATGCGTGAGAAGATGCCCCAGCCAGAGCGTGCCCTGTCGTGCCCACCTTGCCCCCCCGCCCCCCGCCCCCCCTCCTTAGCCCGGAGGGAGGAGGAGGATGCGTGAGAAGATGCCCCAGCCAGAGCGTGCCCTGTCGTGCCCACCTTGCCCCCCCGCCCCCCGCCCCCCCCTCCTTAGCCCGGAGGAGGATGCGTGAGAAGATGCCCCGGCCGGAGCGTGCCCCTGTCATGCCCACCTTGCCCCCCCCGGCCCCCTCTCCCTAGCCCCTTGCCCCCCCACCCCCCTCACCCCCTCTCCCTAGCGCCCAGCCCGGAGGAGGAGGATGCGTGAGAAGATGCCCCTGCCAGAGCGTGCCCTGTCATGCCCACCTTGCCCCCGCCCCCCTCCTAGCCCGGAGGAGGAGGAGGAGGAGGAGGAGGAGGAAGAGGAGGAGGAGGAGGAGGAGGTGCGTGAGAAGATGCCCCTGCCAGAGCGTGCCCGGTCAAGCCCACCTTGCCCGCCCCCCACGCCCCCTCACCCCCTCTCCCTAGCGCCCCGCCCAGAGGAGGAGGGGAGGAGGAGGAGGGGGAGGAGGAGGAAGAGGCCGAAGGAGGAGGAGGAGGAGGAGGGATGCGTGAGAAGATGCCCCTGCCAGAGCGTGCCCAGTCATGCCCACCTTGCCCCCGCCCCCCTACCCTAGCCCGGAGGAGGAGGGGGAAGAAGAAGGGGCCGAAGGAGGAGGAGGATGCGTGAGAAGATGCCCCGGCCAGAGCGTGCCCAGTCATGCCCACCTTGCCCCCCCCCCCACCCCCCCTCTCCCTAGCCCGGAGGAGAGGAGGAGGAGGAGGGAGAGGAGGGAGGAGGGAGGAGGGAGGAGGAGGAGGAGGAGAGGAGGAGATGAGGAGGAGGAGGAGGAGGAGGAGGAAGGAGGAAGAGGGAGGAGGAGGAGGAGGAGGATGCGTGCTTGCTTGCCCGGGTGGCTGGTCTGACCTTCGGAGATAATGGGGAACTCCCTTTCTCCTGCTGAGTCCTCCTACTTAGTTCCTACGCTCTGTCCTCCTCGCTCTTCCTCGTCTCCTCTTTCGTTCTTCCTTCTTTCTCCTAAGTCCTCCTACTTAGTTCCTACTCCCTGTCCTCCTCGCTCTTCCTCGTCCTCCTTTTCGTTCTTCCTTCTTTCTCCTAAGTCCTCTCCTACTTAGTTCTACTCCCTGTCCTCCTCGCTCTTCCTCGTCTCCTCCTCTTTCGTTCTTCCTTCTTTCTCCTAAGTCTCCTCTTAGTTCCTACTCCCTGTCCTCCTCGCTCTTCCTCGTCTCCTCTTTCGTTCTTCCTTCTTTCTCCTAAGTCCTCCTACTTAGTTCCTACTCCCTGTCCTCCTCGCTCTTCCTCGTCTCCTCTTTCGTTCTTCCTTCTTTCTCCTAAGTCCTCCTACTTAGTTCCTACTCCCTGTCCTCCTCGCTCTTCCTCGTCTCCTCTTTCGTTCTTCCTTCTTTCTCCTAAGTCCTCCTACTTAGTTCCTACTCCTGTCCTCCTCGCTCTTCCTCGTCTCCTCTTTCGTTCTTCCTTCTTTCTCCTAAGTCCTCCTACTTAGTTCCTACTCTCTGTCCTCCTCGCTCTTCCTCGTCCCCTCTTTCGTTCTTCCTTCTTTCTCCTAAGCCCTCCTACTTAGTTCCTACGCTCTGTCCTCCTCGCTCTTCCTCGTCTCCTCTTTCGTTCTTCCTTCTTTCTCCCAAGTCCTCCTTCTTAGTTCCTATCTTCTGTCCCCCTCGCTCTTCCTCGTCCCCTCTTTGGTCCTTCCTTCTTTCTCCTAAGTCCTTCTTGTTCCTATCCTCTGTCCTCCTCGCCTATCCCTGTCTCCTTTTGGTCTTCCTTCTCTTCCCTTCTCCTCTCCCTCCTCTCCTCTAATCCCCTCTTCACCTATCTGTTCTTCTTCACCTTGTTTCCTTATTCCTATTCTCTTCCTTCTCTTTGCTTTCCATTCATTTCCCTTCCTCTCCCTCTTCCCCCCTCTCTCCCCTCCTCTTCCTCTCCTCCCCCTCCATCTCCTGTCCCTTCCTCATATCCTCTCTTTCCTCCTCCTCACCCTCACCCTCCTCTTCCTCCATTATTTCTCTCCTTCCTTTCTCCTCCCTCCCTTCCTCCTCCTCCTAGCTCCCTGTCCTACCTCCTACCTCCTTTCCTCCTCCTCCTCACCCCCTTCCCGACCTTTCCAACCTTCCTTCCTTCTCCCTTCTTCCTATCCCTTCCTCCTACCACCTTTTTCTCCTCCTCCTCACCCCCTCCTTTCCTCCCTTCCTCCTCTCCCCCTACCCACCTCCCTATCCTTCACCTCCTCCTTTTCCTCCTTACCCCTCCTTACCCTCCTCCTCTACCCTCCCTTCCTCCTCTCTCCTCCTCCTTCCCCCCCACTCCACCCACCTCCCTCTCTCTAAGCGAAACGAAAACAACTCTATAATGACACTGATGGCGATGATGTTGCAAAAACGCCCTTGACCTAACTTCCTGCAACAGTTAGCCGTTTTGAGATCAACAACACCTCATCGAGATACATTGAAAATCAGGGAGAGGAACGTGCTAAGGATAATAATAAATAAGAAGAAGAAATAAGTGCTAAGGACAATAAAAAGAAGATGAAATAAGTGCTAAGGAGACAATAAAAAGAAGGTAAGTGCTAAGGACAATAATAAAAGAAGAAAGAAATAAGTGCTAAGGACAATAAAAGAAAGTAAGTGCTAAGGCAATAAAAAAAGAAGTAAGGTGCTAAGTGGCAATAAAGAAGAAGTAAGTGCTAAGGACAATAAAAAGAAGAAGTAAGTGCTAAGGACAATAAAAAGGAGAAGTAGAGCTAAGGACATAAACGCACAGAAAAGATTAAGGATAAAAGAAGAAAAAGTGCTAAGGACAATAAAAAGAAGAATTGCAAAGACATAAGTGCTAAGGACAATAAAAAAGAAGAAGAATAAGTGCTAAGGACAATTAAAAAAGAAGAAGAAGTGCTAAGGACAATTAAAAGAAGGAAGAAGCAAGTGCTAAGGACAATAAACAAGAAGAAGAAGAAGTAAGTGCTAAGGACAATTAGGACAGTGCTAAGGACAATAAAAAGAAGTAAGGCAAGTACATGCTAAGGACAATAAAAAGAAGAAGAAATAAGTGCTAAGACAATAAAAAGAAGAAAAGAAGGAAGACAGAAGTAAGTGCTAAGGACAATAAAAAAGAAGAAGTAAGTGCTAAGGACATAAAAGAAGAAGAAGAAATAAAGGTGCTAAGGACAATAAAAAGAGAAGAGTAAGTGCTAAGGACAATAAAAAGAAGAAGAGAGCAAGAGGTGCTAAGGACAATAAAAGTAAGAAGTAAGACTGAAGGACAATAAAAAGAAGAAGTAAGTGCTAAGGACAATAAAAAGAAGAAGTAAGTGCTAAGGACAATAATAAAGTTAAGAAGTAAGTGCTAAAGGACAACTAAAAGAAGAAGTAATAAGTGCTAAGGTTAGAAATAAAAAGAAGAAGAAGTAAGTGCTTAGGACTAATAAACAAGAAGAAGAAATAAGTGCTAAGGACAATAAGAAATATAGAAGAAGAAGCAAGTGCTAAGTGAACAATAAAGAAGTAAGTAAGTGCTAAGGACAATAAAAAGAAGAGTAAGTGCTAAGGACAAAAAAAGAAGAAGAAGTAAGTGCTTAAGGACAATAAAAAGAAGAAGAAGTAAGCTGCTAAGGACAATAAAAAGAAGAAGAAGTAAATTGCTAAGGACAATAAAAAGAAGAAGAAGTAGTGCTAAGGACAATAAAAAGAAGAAAGAAATAAGTGCTAAGGACAATAAAAAGAGAAGAGTGTAAGGACAATAAAAAGAAGTAAGTGCTAAGGACAATAAAAAGAAGAAGAAGTAAGTGCTAAGGACAATAAAAAGAAGAAGAAATAAGTGCTAAGGACAATAAAAAGAAGTAAGAAGTAAGTGCTAAGGAGCAATAAAAAGAAGAAGTAAGTGCTAAGGAAACATAAAAAGAAGAAGAAGTAAGTGCTAAGGACAATAAAAGAAGAAGAAATAAAGTGCTAAAGGACAATAAAAAGAAGGAAGAAATAAGTGCTAAGCGACAATAAAAAGAAGAAGAAGCAAGTGCTTAAGGACAATAAAAGAAGAAGTAGTGCTAAGGACCAATAAAAGAAAGAAGTAAGTGCTAAGGACAATAAAAAGAAGAAGAAAGTAAGTGCTAAGACACATAAAAGAAGTAAGTGCTAAGGACAATAAAAAGAAGAAGAAGTAAGTGCTAAGGACAATAAAAAGAAGAAGAAGTAAGTGCTAAGGACAATAAAAAGAAGAAGAAGTAACTAAAGGACAATAAAAAGAAGTGCTAAGGACAATAAAAGAAGAAGAAGTAAGTGCTAAGGACAATAAAAGAAGAAAAAAAGTTAAGGAAGCAATAAATGCTAAGGAAAGAAGAATCAAGTGCTAAGGGACAATAAAAGAAGAAGAATAAGTGCAACTATAGGACAATAAAAAAAGAGAAGTGCTAAGGACAATAAAAAGAAGAAGTAATGTGCAAGGACAATAAAAAGAAGAGAGCTGCTAAGGACAATAAAAGAAGAAGAATAAGAGTGCTAAGGACAATAAAAAGAAGAAGAAAGTTCAAGTGCTAAGGACAATAAAAAAGAAGAAAAAGAAGTAAGTGCAGGACAATAAAAAAGTAATGCTAAGGACAATCAAAAGAAGAGAGTCAAAGTGCTAAGGACAAAAAAGAGAAGAAGTAATGCTAAACAATGAACAAGAAGAACAGAAGACAAATAATGCTAAGGACATCAAAAAGAAGAAGAAGCAAGTCTACGGACAATAAAAGACAGTAAGCTGCTAAGGGACAATAAAACAAGTAAGAAGACAGGTAAGTGCTGAAGGACAATAAAAAGAAGAAAATAAGTCAGTAAAGGACAATACAAAAGAAAAGAGCAAGGCTAAGACAATAAAAGAAGTAAGTGCTCAAGGACAATAAACAAGAGAAAAGTAAGCTGCTAAGACAATAAAAAGAAGAAGAAATACATGCTAGGACATAAAAAGAAAAAGTAAATGCTAAGGACATAAAACAGAAAAAGAAGAAGTGCTAAGGACAATAAAAAGAAGTAAAAAGGACAATAAAAGAAGAAGTAAGCTGCTAAGGACAATAAAAAGAAAGAAGAAGTGACAGAAAAAAAGAAGTAAGTGCTAAGGACAATAAAGAAGAAGAAGTAAGTGCTAAAGGACAATAAAAAGAGAAGAAGTAAGTGCTAAGGACAATAAAAAATAAGGACAATAAAAAGAAGAAGAAGTAAGTGCTAAGGACAATAAAAAGAAGAAGTAAGTGCTAAGGACAATAAAAAGAAGAAGAAATAAGTGCTAAGGACAATAAAAAGAAGAAACAAGTGAGACCATAAAAAGAAGAAGAATAAGTGCTAAGGACAATAAAAAGAAGGAAGTAAGTTGCAAGGAACAATAAAAAGAAGAAGTAAGTGCTAAAGACAATAAAAAGAAGAAGTAAGTGCTAAAGACAATAAAAAGAAGAAGTAAGTGCTAAAGACAATAAAAAGAAGAAGTAAGTGCTAAGGACAATAAACGGAAGAAGTAAGTGCAAAGGACAAATAAAAACGAAGAGTAGTGCTAAGGAACAATAAAAAGAAGAAGAAATAAGTGCTAAGGACAATAAAAAAGAAGAAGAAGTAAGTGCTAAGGACAATAAAAAGAAGAAGAATAAGTGCTAAGGACAATAAAAAGAAAAGAAGTAAGTGCTAAAGGACAATCAAAAAAAGAAGAAGTAAGTGCTAAGGGACAAAAAAAAGAAGAAGTAAGTGCTAAGGACCAATAAAAAAGAAGAAATAAGTGCTAAGGACAATAAAAAGAAGAAGAAGTAAGTGTGAAATAAAGAAAAGGACAATAAAGTGCTAAGGACAATAAAAAGAAGAAGAGAAATAAAGTGCTAAGGACAATTAAAAGAAGAAGTGCAAGGACAATAAAAAGGAAGAAAGTAAGTGCAAAGGACACATAAAAAGAAGAGTAAGTGCTAAGGACAATAGAAAAGAAGAAGAAAATAAGTGTAAGGACAAAAAAAAGAAGAAGAGCAGGCTAAGACAATCAATGAAAGAAGAAGTAAGTGCTAGGACAATAAAAAAGTAAGTGCTAAGGACAATAAAAAGAAGAAGAAATTAAGTTGTAAGGACATAAAAAGAAGTAAGTGCTAAGGCATAAAAGACAAGTGTAAGACAATAAAAGAAGAAGAAATAATGGCTAAGGACAATTAAAAGAAGAAGAAGCAAGTGCTAAGGACAATAAAAAGAAGAAAGAAGTAGACAATAAAAATAAGAAGTAATGCCAAGACAATATAAAAATAAAAGAGAAGTAAGTGCTAAGGACAATAAAAAGAAGAGATAAGTGCTGAAGGACAATAAAGAAGAGTAAGTGCTAAAGGACAATAAAAAGAAGTAAGTGCTAAGGACAATAAAAATAAGAAGAAATAAGTGCTAAGGACAATAAAAAGCAGTAAAGGACAATAAAAGAAGAAGAAGTAAGTCTTAAGGACAAAAAAGAAGAAGCAAGTAAGGTGCTAAGGACAATAAAAATAAGAAGAAGTAAGTGCTAAGGACAATAAAAAGAAGAAGAAGTAAGTGCTAAGGACAATAAAAAGAAGAAGAAGTAAGTGCTAAGGACAATAAAAAGAAGAAGAAATAAGTGCTAAGGACAATAAAAAGAAAAAAGAAGTGCAGGACATAAAAAGAAGAAGTAATGCTTAGGACAATAAAAGAAGAAAGTAGTGCTAAGGACAATAAAGAAGACAAGAAGCAGTGCTAAGGGACATAAAAGAAGAAGAAGTGTAAGGCTACAAGGACAAAAAAGAAGAAGAAAAAAGTGTAGACAATAAAAGAAGAAGAAAAGAAGAAGAAGTAAGTGCTAAGGACAATAAAAAGAAGAAGTAAAAAAACATGCTAGGAGTCTGTTATGTGACCCTTAAAATCCGTATCATATTTGAGAAAATACATCACTAAATATCTAAAGAAAAAAATAATGATATATGACTGATCAGGAAATTCATAAGGAATAAAAACACAAATGACTGAATATTCTAAAAAGTGGAACAATGACTAAACATTTTTAAAAAATGGAACAATGACTAAATATTTCTATTTATGACTAAATATTTATGATAGATAATCTGGTAATTCATAAGACAATAAAAGCCAATCACTAAATATAAAAAAATATGTACATGGCGAGAGTAATACAAATATATTAAGATAGATGTCAAGAAGAATAAGATCACTAAAGCCATATAAAGAATTATGACGTCAGGAAAGCCATATAAAGGAGGGAGGGAGGGGGAAGGAATAAATAAATGAGGGGAGGAGAAGGAGAAGGAGAGGAGAAGGGGGGGGGAGAGGATGAGGAATTGGACGAAGAGGGGAGGGGGAGGGGAGGGGAGAAATAAATAAGGAAAGAGGAGGAAGGAGGGAAGAGGAGGGGGAGGAGGGCAGGAAGGAATAATAAGAGATGGGTAGGGGAAGGTAGGAATAAATAAGAGGAAGAGGAGAAGAGGAGGAGGAGGGAGGGGGAAGAGGATGAGGAATTGGACGAAGAGAGGGGAGAGGAGGGGAGGGTAGGAATGAATAAGGAAGAGGGAGATGGAGGAGGGGAAGGATAAAAAAGAGAGGAATGAAGGGAGGGAAGAGGAGGAGGAGTTGGGAAGAGGAGAGGGTAGGTGAACATGAGGAGAGGAGAGGAGGAGAAATAGTAGGAAGCAGGAGAGGAGTTAGAGAAGAGGAACAAAGGGAGGAGGAGGATAGGCGTAGGAAAGGAAGGCGGAAGGGAGGAAAGAGATCAGAAGGCACGAAGCGGAAAAGGAAACCCCACGAAAAGAGAGAGAAAGAGAGAGAAAGAAGAGAGAGAGAGAGAGAGAGAGAGAGAGAAGAGAGAGAGAAGAGAGAGAGAGAGAGAGAGAGAGAGAGAGAGAGAGAGAGAGAGAGAGCGAGAAAGCGAGAGAGAGACAGAGACAGAGAGAGAGAGTGTGAAAAGAAAAGCCAGGACTCACGCGTGGTGAAGTTGGTCTCCACGTAGGCGTCGCTCTCCTTGTTCCCGTAGATGGTGAACAGCTGCAGCTTGTACGAGGCGCCGGGGGTGAGCTCCCTGATCGGGTGCGGCAGCTGGTTCTCCGTCACGATGATGTTCTTGTTGCTGTTCTGCGGCTCCGACAGCGGGATGACCTTGAGCTTGAAGGCCGAGTACTCGCCGATGACCGGAGGCTCCCAGGTCACGAAGACCACCTTGCCCTTCTTGCTCTGGATCGTGAGGTTGGTGGGCGGCCGCGGCACTGCGGGCGGGGAGAGAAGGGGAGGCGTTAAGGGCTGATGAGGGGGGCTGCGGGGTCAGACGAGGGCGTTCCAGGGGGTTGGGAACGAAGCGAAAACGTAAGAAAAGGAAAGGGAATAGCTGGAATGGAAATCAAAAGATAAGGGGACGCAAAAAAATATCTGTGAATAAAATGAAATGAAAGGACACGTAAAAATCACTTGAATCAAAAACAAAATTATAAAAAAAGAAGATTCAAATTTCGCTGAAAAAAGAGACGCAAAAAATCATTGGAAACAAAACAAAACAAAAAATGGGAAACGCAAAAATCACTGGAAGCAAGAGAAAAAAAAAACACGCAAAAATCACCGGAAAACAATAAACGAAACACAAAAATTACTGGAACCACAACAAAACAAAACATAAAACAAAAAACACACAAAAATCACTGAAAAAAAGGAAAACGTAAAAATGTCAAACGTCCTGTTCCTAAGTAAAAAGAGAAAAAGAAAAGTACCCACTTTATGCCTTACTTAAACAGGCACTTCACACCAGTTTCACGCCCTAATAAACCAGTTATATACCCAGCTAAACAACCGCCATAGCCCTCGATAAACAACCAATTTTCCGCCTTAACAACCAACGTACACAGTTAAATAGCCACTTAACACCCTGCTTACATAAGTCACTCTACACCCAAGCTTAACAATCAAAGTAAGCCCTCATTAAATAAAGCCCTTTATAACCTCCTTCTCCTCCCTTCCCTTCCTCATTCCTCCCTTCCCCCTACCCATCACCCTTTCCCTTCCTTCTCCTCCCTCCTCTTTCTCCTCCATCTCTTCCTCATTCCTCATATCCCCCTACCCATCTCCCTTCCTTCCTTCCTCATCTCCTCCTCCTCCTTCCTCCCTTCCTCATTCCACCCACCCTCCTACCCATCTCCCTTTCCCTTCCTTCCTCATGTCCTCCTCACCTCTTCTTCCTCCTTCTTCCTCATTCCCCCTCCCCTCTCCCTCTCCTTATCCTCCCTCCTCCACCCCCCTCTATCCCCTACCCATCTCCCTAACCTTCCTTCCTCACCTCCTCCTCCCCTCCCTTCCTTCCTCATTTCCACCCATCCCCTCTACCCATCTCCCTATCCTTTCTTTCCTCACCTCCTCCTTCTCCTCCCTCCCTCACTTCCTCATTCTCACTAGAAGTTTTATTCTCCCTCCCTTCCTCATTCCTCCCATCCCCCTACCATCTCCCTTCCTTCCTTCCTCATCTCCTCCTTCTTCTCCTTCCCTCCTTTTTTCCCTCCTTCGCCCAGCAGCCGCTCCGAAGCCATGACGTCACGACAGTAAACCCTTCTTCATGACACTGAGTTCGAGGGTTCGGATCCCGACTCCACTGGGGATTAGGGTAATGAGGAAGAAGGAGAAGAATAAGAAAGAATAAGGAATAAAAAGAAGGAGAAGAAGAAAGGAATAAAAAGAAAGAAGAAGAAAAGAAAAAGGAATAAGAAAAGAAGAAGGAATAATAGAAGAAAAGAAAAGATAATAATGGAGAAGAAAGGAATAAAAAGAAGAAAAACAGAATAATAATAAGGAGGAAGAAGGAATAAACAAGAAGAGGAATAAAAAGAGAAGAAAGGAATAATTAAGAAGGAGAAGAAGGAATAAAAAGAAGAAGGAATAAGAAGAAACAGAAAATAAGAAAGAAGAAGGAGTATAAAAGAAGGAGGAGAAGAAGAGAAACAGAGAATAAGAAGAAGAAGGAATAAAAAGAAGAAGGAATAAAAAGAAGGGAAAGAAGAAGAATCAGAATAATAATAAGAAGGAGGAATAAAAAGAAGAAGAAAATAAACAAGAAGAAGGAATATAAGAAGGAATAAAAAGAAGAAGAAGGAATAAAAAGAAGAAGGAATAAAAAGAAAAAGGAAAAATAACAACAATAATAATAACCCCCCCGCGTGCCTTCCCCTCCGAGTGCCTGGCCCGCTGGCACCCCCCCCCCCGCGCCCTCAGAAGCCCCTGGGAGGTGGTCGAGGTCAGGCGGGGGGGGGGGGAATTGGCCGCGAGAAGGGGCTTCGTCAGGAGAAAGAGGGAAAGGAGAAATAATAGGAAGAAGAGAAGGAAAGAACTAAGAAGAGAGATGTGAAAGGTGTGTCTACGATAAGAATAGATTTGTATATATATATATATATATATATATATATATATATATATATATATATATATATATATATATATATTTTTATGAAGTGTAATTATTATTTTTTTATTATAATTACCGGATTCAGAAGAATTCCGTCAGATGAGGAAAAATATATATATAAGAAAAAATAATAGAGTACCGTTTAACATATATATTAAATACTTAAAAAATATATTACGTATTAAAAAAATCTTATATATAAAAATATATATAATAAGAAAATAAATATAGTGACGTTTGAACACATAGAGAGGAAATAGAACAGGAAGATTATAACAAATCGTGTTCTTTTTCATTTTCCGAAAAAAAATGCAACACAGCCAACAATGAGAACAAAAGAACAAATCACAGCCAACAATGAGAACAAAAGAACAAATCACATCTCGCTGCGTGAACATACAGGATGAAATCTAACCACAAGAAGAACAAAATAACACATTCCCTGCAGCCGCAAGAACAGGATACCAAATCTGTTCTTCTCGCAACTATTCTATATTCAATAACAATATTCCTTCTCTCTCGACGGACTCCTTGAAGAACAGACGCCTGTGCTTGAGACAAGTGCCAACCCTTGTAGAACACAGACAAGGAAGAACAAAAAGAAACAAAAACGGTTCAAACACAACAATTGTAATCATAGCGCCAATGGACACATACTAGGACACACACAGACACGCACTCAGAAGAGAGGAGAGAGAGAGAGAGAGAGAGAGAGAGAGAGAGAGAGAGAGGAGAGGGAGGGAGGAAAGAGAGAGAGAGAGAGAGAGAGAGAGAGAGAGAGAGAGAGAGAGAGAGAGAGAGAGAGAGAGAGAGAGAGAGAGAGAGAGAGGGAGGGAGGGAGAGGGAGAGAGAGAGAGAGAGAGAGAGAGAGGGAGAGAGAGAGAGGAGAGAGAGAGAGAGAAGAGAAGAGAGAGAAGAGAGAGAGAGAGAGAGAGGGAGGGAGGGAGGGAGAGAGAGAGAGAGAGAGAAGAGAGAGAGAGAGAGAGAGAGAGAGAGAGAGAGAGAGAGAGAGAGAGAAGAGGGAGGGGAGGGAGGGAGAGAGAGAGGAGGAGAGAGAGAGAGGAGAGGAGAGAGAGAGGAGAGAAGAGAGAGAGAGAGAGAGAGAGAGAGAGAGAGAAAGAGAGAGAGAGAGAGAGAGAGAGAGAGAGAGAGAGAGAGAGAGAGAGAGAGAGAAGAGAGAGAGGAGAGAGAGAGAGAGACAGAGAGAGAGGAGAGCAGAGAGAGAGACAGACAGAGCAGAGAGAGAGAGACAGAGACAGTGACAGAGAGACAGACAGAGAACCTAGAGTCAAAGACGGAGACAGACAGAGAAAACAGGGTTATAAAATGTGAAGTATGTGTTAAGCACATAGTGAATTCAGCAACTTGGTGGAACAT